GAAAGTCACACTGCAGTGGAGGGTAGTTAGTACAGTTGGGATCTCCTGGGAGACAGTAACAGCCTGGCCTTGCTCCTATGGAGCCCACAGGCATTGCTGTCTTCTGGACTAAACACCTGGATCCAGCTATCTTATCTCTGGACAGGGGTAACCCAAGCTGCTGGGGCTTCCAAGTCCAGATCCAAATGAAAATTGGGGCCCCTGGTGCCAGAGAGTGCAGAGCTGACTTGCTATACAGAGAAAAGCCAGCTGTGTTCTCTGGTACGTGATTTTGTTACAGACCCATTTCCATTCCGAGCACATTGATTAAATTTTAAGCACTAATCCTTTGGCCCTGGGAGGCTGAATTTCCTTGTGTGATGAATCACTAATGCAAATGCATCAGAGCCATGAAAGCACACATTCTGGTTTGGCCCAGTGCCCAGGGGGCGAGTAAAACATGCCTGCTGTTTTGGCACTAGCACTGGACCTCTTGGTGTGCTCCTACAACCAGCTGCCTGGGTCAGCAGGAGCATCAGCCATTCCATCAACAGGGGCAGGAATCCCTCAGCTACAGCACTGTCATGGGCAGGCGTCCCCCCCACCTGGGTAGCACCCACTAGCTGAGCAGGTGGGAGCATTTCTGTTGTAAGAGCTCAATAGTAGGAGCCAGACCTGCCTATCAGGTCACTATGGAGAGGACTTCCTTCCCAGCGCCGCTGGGGTGAGCAAGACATCTTTCTCCCAATATTTTTATCTTGGATTTCCTGCTTTCCAATATCAGACTACATTGGGCTGTTTTCCTTTGCTGTCTCAGCGGTGGCATTCCCTTCCCCTCTCACCTGCAGAGCTGTGACTTCTTCTTCCCATGGCAGTGGGGGAAGGCAAAAGCACTTTTGCCCCTTTTTTGTAGCTAACCATTCCTTTGCACTGTTTAGGGTCCTACCCATATTTTATAGCTGAGATCTGAGCAGATTCTTTGATCACAAGGTTTTGAGGATTCTTTTAGCGGTGGCCCAACTCTTCCATCCATTCTTCCTCTCGGTCTAACAAAATGATTAATAAATAAAAGAGTGAAACAGCATCTTCTCAGCTGGGCTCCCAGGAGGCTTTTACTGAAACCGGACAGAGTTCTTTGATAAATGCATGTTCTATTTATTTCCTTTTTTATGATGCATACTATTGAAGAGTTGGGTCTCGCGTCTCCTCTTGTGCAGAGCAGAAATACTAGGTCTGTATTTTATGACGTTTCGTTGTACAATTCCCGCTGGTGTCCCACGGCACAGATTCTGAGATATACTTATAATGAGAGATCTATTTCCTTTGAATAACCATAAAGTATAACTTGAATGTACAATGGCGAGGCCTGCCTCTTCTGTCTGGCTTTGGTGGGGAGGGCAGGCAGTGAAGATGAAAGCAGAGGCCTGGACTGAAGCAATTACAGGGCTGATCAAAGGAGGGTAAGACAAGAGCCTTGTTACAACTCTTTGGAGAAGAGGAGCGAGGGCTGGTGACATATGAGTGACCATCGGGGCACAGAACTATGATGTGATGCAGATCCAAACCTGCCCCCAAAAAGAAAAGCCCAGCCCTCCAAGAGACAGCTTCTTAAGCCTCCCGAAGTGTTAGGGACCCTACCTAGCCTGGGTTAATGGCCTACACAGCCACACCCGCCTGTAACTTTGACTGACAGCTCTATCCCAGCTAATTAGCAGACAGGCTTCCTGATGAGCTGCTGGGAGAGCAGCTACCCATTTAGTCCCAGCTGTGGCAGCAGGCTCCAGGCCAGCCAACAGTACTGACTCAGGTTTGCTTGGATGAGCTTCCTGGCTCCTGAGCCTGGTTTGGCTCTTCCTGCACTCTGGCTTTGGGTTTCCCCTTGGATCTGGTTCCTATTTCCTGGACTCTGCTTGTTCAGTTCCTGGACCTTGCCTTGTCGCATACCCCTTTGGTTCTGGTAACTTAGTCTTAGCCTCCTGAACCCTGGCCTAGCCTGTGACTGGATCTGGTAACTCGGTTCCTGACTCCTGACCCCTGATGGGGCCTGTGGTTTGGTCCTGCCCTCCCACAGTGGCCTAACCACTAGGCCAGATCACCTTTTTTATGCACCCTTTACCCAAAGTGGTGAGGCATAGTCATTTTGTGGATCAGCCACTAGAGGGCAGCAGTATACACTCAGGGCCATGAACTGTGGTGTCCTTATCCCTCTGGACTGTGAGGCCAGGACCTAGGGCATGAACTTGTCCAGAAGAGCAGAAATCATCTAGCATCAACATGAGGTTGATTTTTGAATGCTTAAGCAATGCAGAGACTATCTGCTGGCAGGAACCCTGAGAGCAATCTTGGTCCCAGTGAGGGAACAGGGTTGCTGCTACAGCAGTCAGTAGAGAAGCAGGACCTATCTGTCTAGAGGGAGCAGGGCTGGACTGCCCTCCACCCCAAAATCAGAGGGATGTTTCCAGTAGCAGCAGGCAGTGCCTTGGTTCTTGACATCTCACTGCTGTTGATTATTGCATTACACAGCCAAACCAGGGGCTGCATTGAACCTTCTGTGCTTGCTGAATAGGTCTAAATTATTCATGCAAAAATGCACGCAACCTTGACAATGCTGTTATGAACAGAAATAGATTGGAGTGGTAATCTGCCAGAGGAAACAATCGGCTGTCTCTGTGGAGCTCCATGTTCTGTGCCCTTTTCCGCAGGATGGGAAGCTTGTGGGGAGAGAAGTCTATGCCTCCGTGCAAGAGCTAGGATACAGAGAGACTCATAAGCAGACAGGCTATGGGATGAGTGAGATCAGAGCAGGGTACAGCAGGCAAAGGGATACAATTTCTCCAGATTATAGACTCTGGGCAAGGCCTGGCTTTTGATTCTGTGGCTCTTCAGGCATAGTAGGGCTAGGCTTGCAGGGGCTTCCATGAGATAGATATTACCTAATACCACTGTCCACTCCCTGGGCAGCAGTCTGGTTGCACCCATCATTGCAAACAACTCCCAGCCAGCCCAGGGCAAATGAAGCCACATCTGAGCAGGCAGGGTGTAAGGTGCACTGGATGCCAGGTAAGTGCTTTCCCTTAATGGTCCTGGGTGCCCTGCTTGGCATCAGGCTGGCTGGGACTGCAGCTAGGTGTACGGATGTCCCAAAGAGCAGGCAGTATGGGTGACCGGCCTGTACTAGCACTGCTTTGTTTGAAGTCAAGTCCTGCAGATGTAGCCAGGAGGGGTCATTTTACCCCCTCCCCCCCACGCCTTATGAGTGCAGTTGCCATGTTATTGTTCTAGACACTATGTACAATAAGAGCTGCTAACCTCTTTCTCTGTAGAAACGCTCTGTAGCCTCATAGCTCAAACCCAGTGTACCTGTAAAACCTCCCTTGTTTTGCAGGGCTTTTCTTGCCTGATAGTAATGGGAGAACACACTATGTGAAAGGGAAAGGCATTTCTCCCTCATTTTTAATTGTCTTATGTTTGCAATATGATCTGGCTTCAGTTCTTAGAAAATAAATCCTCAGGGGTTGTTCCCACAAGCCTGGCCATATTCAGCCAGGGGCCAGGAGCCACTGCCCCTCCTTCAGGCCAGCCCTGGGTTAGTCCTTGTGGTCTGGGCTACCTTGGTCCCCTGAGCTGCACCTGCCCATGCAGATATGGAAGGTGTTGGCTGTGCTGGGGCACAGGCTGGGACCCCAGCTTGCTCCCTGGGAATCCCTCTCCCCCAGGAGCAGTATAGGGTGCATGACATGCATCCTAGACCCATGCCTCCAGCTGTGGGGTCACCTCAGGAAGTGGCTCTTTCAATCCCTAGAGCATCTGCTGAAGTGGACTTGAGCTCACGGAAGCTTGTGCTCTCTGGCCTCCACGTGTTAAAGGATGTGGAGAGCGAGAGAGGGTCCAGAGATGGGCAACAAAAATGATCAAGGGCTTGGAAAGAGAGTCGTCTGAGGAGAGTTAGGCATGTTCAGCTTGTGGGAAAGGTGCTGAAGAAGGGACATGAAAGCAGTCTTCAAATACTTGAAGGGCTGCCATAAAGAGCTGAGAAAGCAGCTTCTCTTTCTCGCTGCAGAGGAGGATGTCCACCACTGGCTTGAAGTTGCAGCAAAGCAAATTTAGATCAGATATCTGGAAAAGGTCTTCACCGTGCGTGCAGCGAGGCAGTGGACCAGACACCCAGGGGAGTGGTGGACTCCCCATCACTGGCTGTCTTCAAGAAGAGGTTGGACAGCTGCCGGCTGGGGATGTCTAGGCGCAGCGATGCCATGTCCTGCCATGGGGATTTCCCAGGCTCCTGGGCTTTGCTGCTTGCCTCCCCCGCCCTTTCTGCTACTGTTCAGTGTTTTCAAGCCCCCGTCAGAGGCTCCAGGTGTTGGCTGCAGCCCAGGCTTGGGGCTCCAGGCCCCTACCAATGCTCCTGCTGGGCCCAAAGCCAGAGGTTTGTGGCAACAGAGCCTTGCCCCTCGGCTCCAGCTCAAACCGACCCAGATCTGGGGGCAGGAAGGAATTTTACCCCATGATCAGACGTGGGGGTGGGGTGGGGACGACAACTGTCCCCTCTGCAGGGACTCAGGTGTCTCCCAGCCCTGGGGCCTGCCCTGGCAGCATGGAGCAGAGCAGGAAGCTGTGGCCAGCTGGGTGAGGCCTGGTTTGTGGGGCCCAGGGACCGGGCAGGGAGTTGCGGGGTGGTCTGGACACGAGCTGTGTAGGGCCCCAGGACTGTGGGGGGCCTTGGACACTTGGGTCCCATGGGGGGCAGGGAGGGGGACACCCAGGTGTCCCATTGGGGAGGGGGGTGGCACTGTAGGGGCCTGGACAGCTGGGACTGCAGGACTCGCCTTAGTTAGTCTCTAACGTGCAACCTGCCCTGCCTCTACCTCCCTTTAACTCTAGGTTTTCTTGTCGGCAAAAATCTGCCCCATCCCACACCCCTTTAAGGAGTCCGGACGCTTTTTAACACCGCCTCTCTCTGATTGGCCGAGGTCGCGCCGGTCCTCCAGCGTCATTGGTGTAGGCGCCGCGCAGTGCCCGCCCCCTGGGCGCCATTGGCGGCGGGGCGGGGCGGGCGTAGTGGGCGATGGCGGAGCTGAGTGCGGTGCCGGACGTGGAGATCGACGCTGACGGCGTCTTCAAGTACGTGCTGCTCCGCGTGCGGCCCCCGAGCGGCGCCGCCAAGGACGTGGTGCGGGGCTACGGCTGGGCCGAGTACCACGGTGAGCCGGGGCGGGGAGGTCCCAGGTGTCCCCACGGGGGGCGGGGGAAGGTCCTGGGTGTCCCCAGTGTGGGGGGGAGGGAGGACCCGGGTGTCCTCAGTGGGGCAGGTCCTAGGTGTCCCCACGGGGGGACGACAACTCCGTGCCTGCAATGCTGGGTGCTGCGGGGGCCGGGGCTGTGTCCCGGGTGGGGGCACAGCAGGGTCTGCCTGCGCTAACCCCCGCCCTGCACAGCCGACATCTACGAGAAGGCGGCCGCAGAGCTGGAGCCACGGGGCTTCAAGTGCGAGTGCCTGGGCGGCGGCCGCATTGCTCACCACAGCGCCGAGCGCCGGATCCACGTCTACGGTTACTCGGTGGTGAGTGCAGGACCCTCCCTCTTCCTCTCTCAGCCAGACCGCGGTTCGCTCCTGGGCGGGGCGGGATCTTCCACGTGGCCCCGATGCTGGGGCTGGACCCGCACCCACCGCCTGGGCTCTGAACTCAGTTGGCTTCCCCACCGTCCAGGTGTGCGTGGGAGCTGGGAGCTGGCGCTTGCCAGCGCCGCCCTGGGTGACACTTGCAGGGCGGCAAGGTCTGGCAGGGCTGTGTGCCTGCTGGTGTGGGGCAGGCATCGCAGGCCAGGCTTGCTGCTTTTGCCCGCTTGGATGGCAAAGAAGGGCGAGTGAGGCGGTGTTGGTGCTGTTGTGGCGCCGTGGCCAGAACCCCCGTGGCGCAGGTGGGGGCAGCAGTGGCCTGGCTTTCCCCAGCAGCTTTTGGGCTGAGCTGTTCCTGGAAGCGCGGAGAGCCGCAGGGGCTCCCTGCTTCTGTGAGGGTTGGACTCGCTGTTCTGGGACTCTTCTCCCTTTGCTGCTGCCTCCGCTAGAAGCAGGCCCTAATGAAACCCAGCCAGAGCTGTGCATGTGCTGTGTTCACTGCTGCGTCCCCTGTGGAGGCTGCCACTCGAGGCCCATCCCACACTGGTCCCTCCGAGGCCCAGGCCAGAGCAAGGCTGGAAGGGTTTGCACCACTGGCGACACATAAGGGGTGC